TTACCAGAGTATTTTTTAACACAAGTATCTGTACTTTTACTCAAGTATGGAAAGTGAGTACTTTTGCCATCTCTGCCGGTATCATGATTAGCAGTCCCAGCTTTTTTGGAGACCCTGTAGCTGTATTTCCTCGCAGCACAATAAGCATTATTTACTATTAATGCCTCATCGTATTATGCCAGATATGAAGCATCCATGCGAGCCCTTCTGGAGGTGACCCTGGCCATGCAGGCTGGTCAGTGGGAGCAGGCGCTGGAGCTTTACAACGCCGCTAAAGGAGCCTGGTGCCAGCTCCGCCTCAACCACGACCTGAGGTCAGGACTCTATAAACCATCCTCAACTTCTGTGGAGTTTAGGCTTCTGATGTTCTTTCCATTTAGTCACCAGGAAGAGCTGCCGGTCTTCCTCCGCAGCTTCACCACAGGATGGGCCTACACCCGCATCTTATCCAGAGGAGTGGAGATTTTACAGAGGCTGCGTCGCTATGAGGTTAACCCGCCCGCCCAGTCAGCGAATGTCGCTGGAGATGAAAGCATCACTAACGGCGCTCTTTCTGTTTCTACACAACAGGAAGCAGTAGAAGAACTGCAGGCCTTACTGAAGCAGTCGGTTTACTGTCCTGACAGCCGGGGCCGATGGTGGGACAGGCTGGCTCTGAACCTTCACCAGCACCTCAAAAAGCCCGATCAAGTAAAGAGAAATGTTTTAAAATGTTTCTGTTTGCTATTGTTAAATCATGTTATTTATATGAACATCAACATTTAATTTTATACTTTTAAAGGCGTGTACTGCAGTCCTTTCAGTTTACATTTCCAGCTCTGCTTACAGTGTTAGATCACCGCTCACTCACAATGACTGTATATCCTATTAGCGCTAAAGGCTACTGTGCCAAAGGTGTCGCAGTTTAACACGTTTGCAGATTAGGTCTGCTCCACTGAGTGAGTAAAGCTGTTGTTGGGAGGGAAGGTGATGGTAATCGCTTTGAAAACCACTTCACCTGTTCAGCTGGACATACCTGCAAGGCAAAAAGCGTTTCTAAAGGTGAAGATTTGGAAAGCAGCCATGGATGAACTGGAAAATGCTGAATGGATTTATCATCACTAAAGAATTAGTTTTTTGCAGTAGATCAAGAAAACTTTCTTTCAGTGTAACTCAAGGCTTTTTCTGGGGGGTAAAAAATAAATAATAAACATGTCTTTCAGTTTCTTTGGGGTATACATATGATATAATGTGATGTTAATTTCTTAGAGATGCTGATTTTCTTGAATCCGACTAGGCAGGATGAGGAGCCATGTTGATTCCAAAAAAGTTAAAAACAATCCGATGGACTTTGTTTCCAAGTTTGAAGACGTTTCTCTTCCATCCAGGAAGCTTTTTTAATTCAGAATGTCAGAAATAGCGTAGAGTTCCTGGTTTTATACGGTAGCCCAACAAAGCCTTGTGTTGGCTTAGAAAACATGCAAAGTTAAAGTCGTAGGGAAGTCTTATTTAAATGTCAAATCATTCCGGCTTAAACATGTAGATAAATGCAATCTTTATCAGACCATATTTTCCCAAAAGTTAGAAAATTTAAATCTGAAAAAAATTCTGTCTTAAAATCTGTGGAGATCCTGCAAAAGTATTGCGGGATCTCGCAAAAGTATTGCGAGATCCTGCAAAAGTATTGCGAGATCTTGCAAAGTAAATTTTTTGTACTTTTGCGAGATCTCGCAAAAAATAAACTTTTGCAAGATCCCGTAATACTCAATAGTCCGCAAAAGTCCCTTTAGGGGCTCCGTAAAAAAGTAAACATCCAAGATTTACCTGGAATCATTTGCTTTGGTCGAGTTAGAATGAGTTTAAACCCTTCAATTATGACATGAAACAAGCAGGAAAAGCTCTTCATCTCTACTGTTAAGTATGTTAGAGTACCTGTAATGCTGTGGGCCTTTCTTTGTTTCAAATTAAAACACAGAGTTTAACAATGTTTGGAATTTTTTAAAAACAGATTTTGTGTTTAAGATTTAGTTGAGCTTTTTTTTTGTTTACTCTTAAATGTCACTTTTTATATTTTTTTTATTAACCCTTTCATACTCAGGCTATCTGTGCTATAAGAGAGGGGTTGTCGGATCCTCTGGTTCGCACAGGACACAAACTCTCCCTGCATCAGAGAGCTCTCAGGATGAAAGAGGCTCCCAGCTGCAAAAAGTACCGACTCCAACTCCGAGAGCTGCCCACCCTCCAAGTCCAAGATGTTAAACATGTGAGTTGATATTTAGGGCGATTTTATTAGAGAAAAAGGAGGAAAAACTAAGATCTTCATAACTTTCTCTCCAGGTGACCATTCGGGGCCAGCTGTTTCCCCATGAGGGTGGCACGGGAAAATCTAGATTTCTTATTCCAGAGAGTGAAGAAGGGGAAGGGAGCATAATTTGCTCTGTGGAGGAGTTCTGCTTGGACCATTACCGACAGCTCGGCTTTGACCAAGGTTTTCAGCTACGGCTTTTAAGAAGCATAAGTAGATAGAAACGCAGAAATGCTCGTACAGAAACAGAATATCCTCTCTTGTGTCAAAGGGATCCATGGAGAGGGATCAACATTCTCCACCTTGTTTGGTCTTCTGATGTGGGACATTATCTTTATGGAAGGTATTCCTGATGTCTTTAGGAACCCATACCAGGTAAAGCACCGTCTAATCTTACCATCTGAACCCATGACAGGTTCATCTACATTTCATTTCCCCCCTTTTCTACAGACTTGTCCTCTGGACTTTTACACCGACTGTTTCTATGAAAACAGAAAGGAAGCAATAGCCTCTCGTGTTGGGCTGCTTCAGGAGGCCACAGTGGAAACGCTGCGCGACATGCTGCAAGATGTCTGGGAATCCCAGGAGGGCAAAGTGTGTTCGCTGGTCAGCTGGGAGCGATTCTCATCCCTCCAGCAGGCTCAGGTACTCTGCATAGATTCCATTCACATTTTATTAATTTTTTTAAGCATTGCATTAGAAGAGTTCGATAGAAACAGAAGAATTTGGATCAACGTACTAAATGTAGCTCAAGTTTTTACGCTCTGGAGGTGGTTTTAGAAATGTTTTGTAAATGTGCTAAAGNGCGTCGTTTCTAAGTCACCAATTTAGTGCTACTTGGTCCCAATGGAATTTCCCATTGGGAACTTACTAGCGCTAAGTTGCTAACTGGTTAGCAAGATACTTCCGACAAACCGGGCATAACCAAACTTGCTTGCGAACCTTCCGCCACAACAATCCCGCCCCCTTGATAATCGACCAATCACATTCACTTTAACCACTCGTGTAAAGTCGGGCACCACTCGGGAGAATTCAGAGATGCAACGGTTGGAACATCAGCTTCCCTACGACTTTAAAGGGAATAGTTGGTCTGGCTGACCAGGCGAGGTCTTCTGTTCCCCTGTAATGGGGTTGGGGTTACGATGATAACGGGAATAAATCCACCCAATCGCTGCATTGTAGGTTTTGAATTCTACAATGCACCCCCCCTGTCTGTTTAAGGTTGGTTTTTCTTTCTTCACATAGATGGCTTCCTTCACGCCCCTCTCTAACCACCTGTCTTCTTTGTCAAAAATGTGAACACTCTGGTCCTCCAAAGAATGTCCTTTGTCCATAAGCTGTAGATTTACCGCAGAGTCTTGTCCTCTGGACTCGGCCAAGCCAACAATTCCCTTTAATGACCCCCTTTCAGAGATATAGACAGGTATGGGGCATTGCAGGCTAACGAAGAATCAAAACAACCCCCATTCCAAAGGCGTGGACCCATTTGTCCGTTTCAATTTGCATGATTTCTAAACAAAAACAAGGCTTTGTTTTTGGTCCACTCTATAAAGCCTGGAACTCAACGCTATTTCTGACATCTTGAATTGAAAAAGCTTCCTGGATGGGAAGAGAAATGTCTTCAAACTTGGAAACAAAGTCCAGTGGATTGATTTTAAGTTTTTTGGAATGACTATGACCTGGATGACTGAGAATCTCCAACAACATGAGCCATGTTTATGTTGTAAGCACTAAGCTGGCATTGAGGAGAGATCCAATAAATAGCTAATGTTATCAGAGAGTTGTAACTATATGCAGTGTCTTCATCACGGCGGGTTGTTAGGACTGATGCTTAGGGGAAAAAAAGCTTCTCCTTCCTGCTGCCAAAAATGTTACAGAGCCCCTAAAGGGACATGGAGGAAAAAAATTAACTTTTGCGAGATCCCGCAATACTTTTGCAAGATCCTGCAAAAGTATTGCGGGATCCTGCAAAAGTATTGCAGGATCTTGCAAAGGTACTGCGAGATCTCACAAAAGTATTGCGGTATCTTGCAAAAGTATTGCGAGATCCTGCAAAAGTATTGCGGGATCTCGCAAAAGTATTGCAGGATCTCACAAAAGTATTGCGAGATCCTGCAAAAGTATTGCAGGATCTTGCAAAAGTATTGTGGTATCTCGCAAAAATATTGCAGGATCTTGCAAAAGTATTGCGGGATCTTGCAAAAGTATTGAGAGATCCTGCAAAAGTATTGCAGGATCTTGCAAAAGTATTGAGAGATCCTGCAAAAGTATTGCGAGATCCTGCAAAAGTATTGAGAGATCCTGCAAAAGTATTGCGAGATCCTGCAAAAGTATTGCGAGATCTTGCAAAGTTAATTTTTTGTACTTTTGCGAGATCTCGCAAAAAATAAACTTTTGCGAGATCCCGCAATACTTTTGCGAGATCTCGCATAGTTTTTGCGGGATCTCGCAAAAGTCCCTTTAGGGGCTCCGTAAAAATGTAAACATCCAAGATTTACCTGGAATCATTTGCTTTGGTCGAGTTAGAATGAGTTTAAACCCTTCAATTATGACATGAAACAAGCAGGAAAAGCTCTTCATCTCTACTGTTAAGTATGTTAGAGTACCTGTAATGCTGTGGGCCTTTCTTTGTTTCAAATTAAAACACAGAGTTTAACAATGTTTGGAATTTTTTAAAAACAGATTTTGTGTTTAAGATTTAGTTGAGCTTTTTTTTTGTTTACTCTTAAATGTCACTTTTTATATTTTTTTTATTAACCCTTTCATACTCAGGCTATCTGTGCTATAAGAGAGGGGTTGTCGGATCCTCTGGTTCGCACAGGACACAAACTCTCCCTGCATCAGAGAGCTCTCAGGATGAAAGAGGCTCCCAGCTGCAAAAAGTACCGACTCCAACTCCGAGAGCTGCCCACCCTCCAAGTCCAAGATGTTAAACATGTGAGTTGATATTTAGGGCGATTTTATGAGAGAAAAAGTAGGAAAAACTAAGATCTTCATAACTTTCTCTCCAGGTGACCATTCGGGGCCAGCTGTTTCCTCATGAGGGCGGGACGGGAAAATCTAGATTTCTTATTCCAGAGAGTGAAGAAGGGGAAGGGAGCATAATTTGCTCTGTGGAGGAGTTCTGCTTGGACCATTACCGACAGCTCGGCTTTGACCAAGGTTTTCAGCTACGGCTTTTAAGAAGCATAAGTAGATAGAAACGCAGAAATGCTCGTACAGAAACAGAATATCCTCTCTTGTGTCAAAGGGATCCATGGAGAGGGATCAACATTCTCCACCTTGTTTGGTCTTCTGATGTGGGACATTATCTTTATGGAAGGTATTCCTGATGTCTTTAGGAACCCATACCAGGTAAAGCACCGTCTAATCTTACCATCTGAACCCATGACAGGTTCATCTACATTTCATTTCCCCCCTTTTCTACAGACTTGTCCTCTGGACTTTTACACCGACTGTTTCTATGAAAACAGAAAGGAAGCAATAGCCTCTCGTGTTGGGCTGCTTCAGGAGGCCACAGTGGAAACGCTGCGCGACATGCTGCAAGATGTCTGGGAATCCCAGGAGGGCAAAGTGTGTTCGCTGGTCAGCTGGGAGCGATTCTCATCCCTCCAGCAGGCTCAGGTACTCTGCATAGATTCCATTCACATTTTATTAATTTTTTTAAGCATTGCATTAGAAGAGTTCGATAGAAACAGAAGAATTTGGATCAACGTACTAAATGTAGCTCAAGTTTTTACGCTCTGGAGGTGGTTTTAGAAATGTTTTGTAAATGTGCTAAAGAGGAGATGGAAACACCTTAGAATCCTACAAACTGGGTCTTTTGACGCCTCCGGATGGCGTTAACCGTTGTTAATACGAACTGACACGATGAAGTGTGACTAAAACACATTCATTACAACCACTGCACTGGAAAAATTCTCAAAAATTCGTCATTTTGTTCTTAAAAAAGGTCCATTTGTTCTTGGATTGAGGAGGTAAAAGAGACAATTTGCCAATGGAACAAGACAATTTACACTTAAAATAAGAAAAAACAACTGCATTATCTTTATCTATTTCAACTGCATATTATCTAAATATCTTATTTTAAGAGTAAAAACACATTAAGGTTAAATACACTTAATTTAAGACATTTTTACTCACTTGTAGATCGTTTTTCCAGAGTGTCCATCACCAGCATGCCAGCTCTACTTGCTGTTTACTACAGTCTACAGCCAAGCGTAACATCAATATATGAAGAGATCACTCTTTGCAATGGATGGAAACTTTTAAACCTTTTAAAAGTTTGATCAAAATTGGCATCACATCACAAGTGTAACCTTCTGAAGGACTGGTGGAGACACGTCCCCACCAATAATTTCCACTTTTTCCCCCCTTGCTGCTGGTTTACTTCAGCCGAAGGTAACAGAGGTTGGGTGCAGCTAACTGTGTTCAGTGCAGTTTGAGTCCATGTTTTTTTTTCCTCTCTCCTTGCTGCTCCCGTGTCACGCCTCTCGGTGTGACATCATCTGAGCTGTCGCTTTTTAGGCATCTGATTTGCGGTCGCATTTCACTGCTTAGAGATGTAGCTGCGTGGTTGGAGGAGAGAGACACAGCAGCATTAAACAGGAGCTACTTTGATATATGCTTAAGTAAAAGCTGGGAGACGGGTTGGTTAAAAAAATTAGAGATGCCACCGAAAAATCTGCTAAACATACGGAGCTTTTTCAGCTAAAAATTGCAACAGATTGTAAGTTTATACAAGTTAATATTATAATGCAAGAAGATTGAGAAACTTTACTAGTTAAAAACCGCTTGGCTTCTCCATGACTCCCAGTTACAGGTTAAAATGTTTTCTTATTGTCCAGACACAATCAGACTGCAGAGCTTCTGCATGTCTTGAAATTTTGTTTCTGGCATCAATATATTGGTAGACAGGTTCATAAATCTGTTTTTAAGCAAAGCAGAAACACAAGTAGGGAGAGCTGCAGATTTAAAGGGGAAACAGATTTAATGGGATATGCAACATGCAATAAAATATATCTCCAAGTTTACCAGAAGGTTTACAAGAAAAGATATGCTATGCTATTTAAAATGTAGCATATCCATATTTTTTCTGGATGGAAGGAATTGAAATTGTTCATTCTAGGGATGCACGATTTATCGATTTGTGCCATATTTAATGTTTTCTTTTGTTCTCAACAATATAAAAGCGTTTATTAAATATGA